AAAACATATGGAAGATTTCAAAATTCTGAAAAATGAATGTGTTTGGCGCAATGCTATCCATTCATTTAAAACTTTATAACATATAAACTTTAAACAAATTAGGAATTATAGCTGTTATGAAACCATTTCTTACTTTCTATTGCATCGTTGTACCCCGCCCTTCCGCCGTGCCTGCTTGTCATAGTCCAGAGACTGCTTTCCATGCGCCCCGAACACAAAATATCTCATGCGCTTATGCAGTCCGATAGCGTCCAGTGATGGTCTAATTGAAACTCGATGTGCGACATTACATGATTGGATCAGATACGATCACACTGGATGGCATGCATATAATAAGTAACTGCTTCCGTAGAGTAATCTTGGGTCGTTTTTATTCAATTCTATTTGATATTTTGTAATTAACCTGCAATCACTCTAATTAAAACCCTACGTGGTTTTGGTCCATATATCTTTTAGTTATTTTTTGAGATGTGCAAAACCGAGCGCTACAGCAGTGCAACATTCCAATTGTAAATATTCCTATCCGAGATAAACGCTTTGGTCAGACTTCTCTAAATTCCTTGTTTGACTAACTGTTGCTGTTTAGCCGAACGAATTTATTAATAGGAATAATGTTCACCTGATAAATGTTTTTGCTGGTAGCGAGAGTGCAGCACGGCACATATCGCAAGTCATCGCATTTCGTTCATTGCCCCATCAAAAACTATGAGCTTATGCAGCAACTGAAAATAATTTAAACCCTATCTCAAATTAGCTACAAAATTTCAAGGCTGATAAATAGGATTAATGTGACTGTTAAGAAGCGAATTTCTTTTATTCCCGTCCCTTTAACTCAACACATGTTGAGAAGTGGTTTGGCTCTTCTAATAGAAAAACAAATTAAACAACTTTAGAGGAGGGAAGTACTGTTTTCTATTCGCTTTTTACATGATCCTATTGGTATACGTTCTGCATCTAATCTGCATTTTCCCTCTCCCTTCTCGTTCAAACTCGCAATCCACCGGCTATTTCTCGCAGCAAGCTTCTCTTTCATGGTCATTTGGATGACGAGTAGTGCCCAGTTGCGCAATGCTTTTGCGAGATGAGCGGCGACGGGGCCCCGACAAGCCAATCGCTTCACATCCAGTTCTCCAACCTGCCCCACACCTGCTGCTGCTGTCCATCTTCCGTGCAAAGCAACGCATAAGGGTTTCTCAGCTACGAGCGTCGTGTTAATGTATTGCGCGCTGATCTGAGCAGTTGATAAGCACTTGAAGGAAGAGCCTTGTGCTCGACCTTGGTAAAAATCGGGAAACCGTAGCAACGAAGAAGCTGGCTGTTAGCTGACCAGCTGCAGCGGCATAACCGCAACCGGCTTTCTGCCAGAACGCCCTAGATCGTCCATAGCGTGGAGGCAAAAAAGTCGCTACAGGAAGGCCAGTCGCCACGTCGTAATCGTGGGATAGTGAGGCAGGCGCTTATGGCATTAAGACAATGCAAGAACGTAGAGCTTGTTTTACAGTGGAATCCTTCATTTCCTCCCTTAAATGGAAGACGAAAGAAAATTGTTCATCACGCGGCATTGCTGGTTTATGTTGCAGGTGCCTTACCTTAATTCATTAAAATAATCTTATGTATTTTTACTTTTTCCTGATGAACCTGCTGAGTTCTTCGTCGTTCCAAATAATTTAATAATCATAGAGCCATCATATCCTCATTTCTGCTGTTTTATTATTTGCATTCTCTGCATTTTTTAAACGAAAAAATGTTT